TTAGTTATCAATGAGCTAACATAATTGTGACTGTCATCTTTATAAAAATTGAACAGTCCATACAATTCATTAAATTATATTATCAGATTCAGTGTATTCTTGTTTAGTAAAATGGATTATACTAAACATTGCATTGAATCTTGATCGTAGTCCATGTTGTACGCTTTTGTGAGTTGTTTCTTGATGTTCTTTTTGTACCTCATCAATTTCCATATCAAATTTATTTTGAATTTTATTTAATGCTAATAAAAAAAAAAACATGTGTATTATATCAAGGTAATAAAAATATTACAGTTTTATATTCAGTAAATTACCTTTACCTTTCTTCAAATCCATATCATCCATTTCTACATTACTAATTTTTGATAATTCTTGTCTGAAACTTTTTGTTATTTTTTTCCGAATATAATCAGCCTCTATTTCTTGCTTGGTCCGCGGTACTCTGAATCGAATGCAACAACAAAATGCAATCAGCACACTAAGCAAAATAGAAAGGATTATGCCAGCAAGTTGCCAAACACGAAATCCCGGTAATGCTTCATCTTCCAACCATTCTTCAACACCACCTTCAACACAATCTCCCGGTCGTATAGCTATTTCATTAGGTGAACATGGTGGAAAAGATGATGAAGTCAAAAGTGATTCAACAGTTGGCTCATCTATCTCCTTCATAATTTGACAACTGAAAATTCTTTGTTATTTCATTAAGCTTATACAAAATATTTCTTCTACATTTTAACCATATAATTCTGCAGTTTTATAATACCAATAATATTAATTGTAAATAACTTTGTTTTATTTTTTATATAATATAAACAATATTTCTCTGAAAAGAATTTAAACATCAAAACTAAATAAAATAACATAACTTTTTATAACTCAAACAAAAGGAACTAGTAATGCGTGTCACTTAAAATTGTGTACATTACACATTAAAATCACAATAGGAAATAAATATAAATATCTTAAAATGGAATTTTATGAATTCTACACTACTTACATATTAAAAATGCAACGACACGTACACTAAAGTCAAGTGCAATTTTAATTTTTCTCATTTAGTTAGAAAGCTGATTGTATTAAGTATTTCAAAATGTTATGATATACATCCTGGTCGAGAGAACACTTGCAACTGAAACCCTAAAAGGCACACAACGTGTCTCAATACCTTTTCTGTCTGTGCTAAATAAAAGGGTGTGGTTATTAATGAATACTCATGTCTGGCACTCCCAAGTTTGCACCTCAATCTGATTTTCCAACCCTTATAACCACTTACTAATTACAAATCAATAATGCCAAATCCTACTATATACTAAATTAATTTTTCTTTAGTAATATTGTAACAAAGGTTTCACAATTATAGCACCTATTATATAGAATTAATACTTTTATTATTTTATAATAATTATATGTTAATAAGAGAGTATAGACAATAAAAATAATTTATCAAAAAACACAATGCTATGTTAAACTCACAAATGATACATTAATATATTATTTCATAAAACCCACGTATTTTTTGTATATTTTAAACACTTTTCAATGTACGTGGTCTTTAATAAACAGAAATGTCTTTAATTAATATAATTGGAGTTGTCACACATTGATAATAATGATCAGCATTGAAATGATTAACATAATTTTGTTTATATAGAAATAGTGAAACAAATTGTCTTAATGTCATTCACAGACTACGAACTCCCTGATTTTTTGTAGATTCTATTCATTCT